TTCCTCTTCAGGATTGGGATATCGCGCCCCTCTCATGTTCCAAGGCTCGTGTGGCACGGTATGTATGCGGATCATAGGTATCTTGTCTACATCCATCCTGCCACGCTCCTCGTCACTAAACGCGTAGGCGCGATGCTTCCTCTTCATTAGCTCYAYCATCAACGTTCGYTSCTGAGGTAGCAGGAAATCAGACTCCCCTATGATCAACTCCTTCTCGTTCCCTTCATTGATACGACATGACCCTGCTAAAGCACTTTCCCTCATGCTTCGAATCAACCCTCGTTCCCTCTCGTAATATGCTTCCTCGTCCTCTGTAACGAGGACGGGTATTGGGCGGCACTTCTTATCTACCGTCTTGTACCGCCTTTGGGAACCCTGCTTGAGCCGTCCCCTAAAAAAGGCCGACTTACAGATGGTGTTTGCGCTGATGCGGGGTTCCCTCCACTGCCTGGGAGCCGATATACCAATTTCAATCTTCCTGCCTCGGGGCATTCCAGAACTTGCTCCCTCAAAGCCAGGATGGCATCCGGATCTGCCATCTCATGCACGGCCACTAAATCCATGGCCTTCCCAATATCTGACAGGCTGAGGGAAAAGGCTTCTACCCTCTCTCCTGCTTCGGGCTCTGCCCAGAGCCTCCTGCACTCCCCTTCCGACTCCTCGATTGTGAATGATCCCGGATGGGGCCGGTTCCTTATACTCCTTGGCCCGGTGTTCCTGCAAGTAATTATTTCATAATTCCCGCAGGCAGGATCGCATAAGAGGAGGATCTACGTCCCATCATGTTTGTTAAACATCACGGTCTCTGTCCTGCTTAGGAATGACCTCCCAGGAGGATTCCATGGTCCACATCTGGCATTATGAAGAAGCATGTCCTGGCCTTCACCTTTCCAACCTCGACGAGCACATTCGAGGCTGTCCCGCAGAACACGGCCTTACAGTTAGCTCCATGCAGGATACCGCAGTCAGAACGGTCTATATCTAGCCCGATCTGATCGCGTCCGCCTCCCGAATAATGTTCATCTCTGCCCCGGTGTCCACCATTGCTGCGCACTTGGAACCCTTCACCATCAAATCCACCGTACCGCAGGCTACGCATTTCCAATCCATCTTCGTGCCT